GCGGCGCCCCCGCCGTCCTGGTGGGGGTGGTGGTCCAGCCGCCGCCCGACGAGGAGAGGGGCGCCCTCCTCCACCTCGAGGACCTGCTCCGGGACGTCTTCCGGGGTCCCGAGGAGGCCGGCCCCGTCGAGGTGCACACGGCGGTCTTCGCCCCGGGACGCCCCGACGGCGCCTTGGAACTCAAACGCCTCGGCAGGACCCGCGTCTCCCGGCAGGCGTCAGGTGAGGGGATGTGTGTGTGTGTGTGTGTGTGAGCCGGGCACTCTGCTTAGGCTCAGAGGCACTCTTCCCGTTGAGAGAGGGGGGGCTCCAGGTAGAAGTGCCCCCACCTCACTAACAGCAATCCATTCTAAGAACAGTCTCTGGCGGACTCAGTGGGCCTGAATGAGGTTCCCAACCTTTGAGGGACAGCGTGAGACCCAGACCTTAGCCCAATCGCCCTATTTCCTTCTCTAGTACTGTACTGTATTAACCTGAGTAATATTATAAATGAACCATAAGCAAGGACGGCAGCCTACTGTTATAGATGACCCATCCTTAGAAGAGGGGTGGCTGAAGGTGAGTGACTGTCACAGCAGCTGCTTTAGCCTCCTCCTGTACTGGCAAGCCTGATTTCTCAGACGGGAAGACTTGCCCAAATCACAGCTCTGGAATAAGCCTAGGGTCAGGTCTCCCATAAGTGAGTTTGACAGTCTGACTCCCTTCCTGAGCAAGTACATAATTAAACAAATGCCACCAAGATGCCTGGCTTTGTCTCTCGATGGGGACTTTGTGGTGAGTCTTGGTGGCCCAAGGAAGGATAACGGGGTCTGTTCCTCCCTCAAGTCAGTTCCCTCTGGCTGGATAAATCGGCAGTGATGCAGATCCTCGGGGCTATGTTGTCGTTTGGAACCTTGGTGTACAGCGGCTATTACCTCTGCAACAACCTCATGTGAAGCCGGCCTCTGTGGCGACGGACTCAGGTGAGAACCTGGAGGGACCCCCCCTGTGTGTTCATGCCACGGGGAAAGAGTATATGCGACTGCCCTTCACAAGATGGGGAGAGTCTTCACTGCAGTACTGCCCTTTAACCACCGCATCACAAAGCTCCTCCTTTACAGGACAGAGCTTTCTAAACGGCTGTGAGAATGGTGGAGTCTCAACTCCAAAGGAAAATTATTAATAAACGGGAAGGGATGTGTACCTTCACAAAAGCCAATGCAATTTTGGAAGGTGAACAGGGCTTCATAGGGGGAGGGGAAAAATTCTATTTCCAAGTGTTATCGGGGGGGAACATGTTTTCTATCATTGATTTTGTTATTTTTTATCTTCAAGGTTTTTAAAAGGTTGTATGCACTTGCTTATCATTTTTATGTATGATTATTAAACAAGAATGTTAAGAGAGATTGTTTCTTTTCCCCAAATCACCCTTTTCAGTTAATTTATTGTGTTTTCGTAGCATGCCAATGTCGTTTTTTTAAAATCTTTCTTCTTATGCTGGACCCCTGGGATTCATTTCTTGATTTGCTTTTCTCCTTCTCTTTCAGTTCTCCTGCCCACGTGGATTTTGAGAGGCTATTCAATAAAAATAAAAATAAATCAAAAGTTGTGGTCTCTGAACCAGCCAGAATCCCACCCCAGGAGATGAGTATCATAGCCCCACTTGGAACTGCTTGGTCCGTCCTGTCACGGACCCACATCTCCGGAGCCACTGTGTTGACCCACACTCTGCCCCTATAGCCCAGCCACGAGTCTCTCTAGCTATCCCATGGTGCAGAGACACTGAAAAAAAGATGAAGGTCCAGGAAGAATGTCAAAAGTTCCTGGAAGGCTTTCCCCAGATGGAGTGTCTGGGAAACAGCACAGTAAATGAGACCCTGAACAGCCCCCAGAAATAATCGGCGGGGTCCTTCTGGAGCCACACATGGGCAACGGGTTCCTTACCCCCAGCCCCCTCCCTGCCACAAGCCCCCTGCCGTGGCTTGGCTTCCCAATTCTCTCCCAATTCAGCCAGCCAGAGGCCCGAAGGACACTTTGCCCGTGTGGGCTGGGTGTGCCAAAGGATGTATTTCCAACTCCCCAGGCCTCCGTTCCCTCGCCCACCCCGGGGTGGGGGTGTCACGTGGGCCGGGGTGGTGGGACTCTGTTGCTACCCTTTCGCCACCATTGGAAGAAGCGGCCGAGACGCCCTGCTCTCCGTCGGTGTCCGTGGGTTGACCCGGGCTGGCTCTTTGGCTGCTTCTGCTGGATGATGTGGAGGGCGTTTAAGGCGGCCATTTCCACCGTGGTGCCAGAGTCATGGCAGAGGGACTGNGGGGGGGGGGGGGGAGACACAGACGAAGCCCTGGTCAGTTGGGTCTCGGGCAAGGCCAAGCGCTCCCTAGGCCAGGATCCCTGCCGTTGAGCTACAGAAGGGTCGCCCTGGAAACGGAGGTTGAGGAGAGGTGTTTGTGGCAGCCGCTGCCACCCTTCGGGGTATGGATGTGCCCAGCACTGTGGCAGTGGGTTCCTGCTCGCCTTTCACCCTCCTTTATTCCCCAGGCTGCCTTCCATTGGACTTCCTATGTTGTTAACGACAGGGGGGGGGGCAGCCGGGATCAAAAACTCACCTTGTAAGAGAGGTTCCCAATCCAGTTTCTCCAGGCGCTGCGCATCCATCGTCTCTGCCAGAACACCTTGCGCCCAGGTGGCAAAGAGAAGGGGCTCAGGTCATCCAGGAGCCCACTTGCCTGATCTCGATCGATCTCCTTCCTGGAGGATAACCCCCCCGCCTCCCCACGCCCATCCCTAAGAGGCTGGAGCTGCGAAGGGAGGGGAATTCAGCAGCGGCCCCTTTTGCCTGCGCCTTCTGCTGGCCAGCCTTTGGGGTCCCCCTCTTCCCTTCCCTGCTACCTGCCAGCTGGCACGCGGCGAGCCGGATCCCTTCCTGCGCACAGTGCATAGATCGGGGCAGCCCCCTCATGAGAGTGTCCAGTAGCGTGGGATCCTTTCTCTGAGCCTGAGGGATAGTGCAGGAAAAAATGGGGGGGGGGACATGGTGGTAGAAAGGGTTAGCTGGGCAGCCTTCGTGTTTCCAGATTTTAAAAAGGAGAAAATAAATGAGCAGACGGGGGCCCCATAAAAGAGGAGAGGTGCGGCCAAAACAGATGGAGGTACAGTGGTGCCTCGCAAGACGAGGTTAATTTGTTCTGTGAAAAATCGCTGTCTTGCTAAAACATCGTCTTGCAAAACGCGGTTCCCCATTGGAATGCACTGAAATCTATTTAATGCGTTCCAATGGGAAAATCATCGTCTTGCGAAAATCGTCCATAGAAAACATCGTCTTGTGGAACACGGTTCCCCACTGGAATGCATTGAAATCTATTTAATGCATTCCAATGGGGAAAAAATCATTGTCTTGCGAAAATCATGCATAGAAAACATCATCTTGCGAAGCGCAACAACAATCGCAAAAACTAATCGTCTTGCGGATTAATCGTCTTGCGAGGCACCACTGTACTTCTTTCTCCTCTTGTAATATGGGGCGGGGGGGGGAATTAGATCTTGCGAGGCACCACTGTACTTTTTTCTCCTCTTGTAATATGGGGGGGGGGAAATTAGGCCCCACAGATCACCCATCACTCAACTGACTCTTGAGTTTTGCTATAAAACCTAATGTGAACTTTCTGGGGTTCGTGGGAACCCAAGTATGATTGTCTAAAATGGTTTAACGAAAGGGTCTGCTTCCGTGCGTAACGTCCATCCCTGGCTCTAATTTCCCTAACCCTGTGACCCCAGGCCCCGTGTTGAGAGATTAATCTTCCTGTCACCCTGAGGTGGCCCGGGGAGCAGCTCTGGCCCCCACCGGCTCACGTACCAGCTGCCCGCAGATCTGACCCATCAGGCGAGAGTGCCAGGCGTCGGAGTCTTCTGCCAGGAGCAGCCTGACCTCCGTCTCCCACGCGAGGTCCTGCAGGCCCAGGAAAGGGGCGCATGAGATGAAGGCCGTCCAGGAAGCCTGGAAGGAGAGATGAGCAGGATCCGTCCCTCCGTCCTTCCTTGCCGGCCCTGGCAAGGTGGCCGAATCGGGCTCGCTCATGGCAGCCTACGGGGAGAACGACGCATCTCCTCCAGCCCTTCTCAACTCACTGGGGAGCTTCTCTGGCACAGCCTTCCTGGCGTTCAGCTCCCCGAGAGGAGGGAGTGCGGTGGACGCCATTTTCTTGGGTCTGGGGAGGCCAGAGAGCTGAGCTCTCCGGCTGTTCTTTATGGTCCTTCCCAGCCCAGTTCATGGCCAAGAACCCAAGGCAGGTGTGGCCGGCCTGTCAGAAGAAGCCCTCCTGGGGGAAATCTGAGCTCTAGGAAGAGGGAACTCAAGACACATCAGGTCTTGGGGGAGCCTTCAAGGAACGGACAGCTCAGCCTTGGGGTGCCCGTTGGAGACAAGAGTTTGGGGCCCTTTTTTGGGGGGGAAAGGGGCAAAAGCGGGTCCGGTCACTCGCTCCCACCTTGGCCACGTCGGGGCTTGGATCCTGGAAGTGGAGCAAGAGAGCGGGCAGGCAGCCCCCCAGTTCTCTGGCCATGGCTTTGGCATGGACTGGCTTTGTGGCCCCAGCCATCCGCCTGAGGAACACGAAGGCCGCCGTACGGAGAGTATCGTCGGGCTGTGGGAAGGAAGAGAGGGGGAGAGATGGACCTTCCAGGGCTGGGATGACGGGGAGGAAACGCCGCCAGAGAGGCCTGCATAGCCCACGTTGGGGGTGGCGCTTCAAGTTCTGGACAGACCAAAGCCACTCCTTTCCCCGTGAAGCCCAAAAGCAACAGAAAGTCCTCAAAGCCGCCGGCTCAGGCCAGTCTCAAGAGGAGCCAGACACATCTACGGCGAGGGTGGGCCGGCGGCTGTCTGTCTGTCAGTGGCACAACCCCTCTATGAAGCCTCCTTCTTCAGGAGCAGTGTGGCTGCATGTTCTGCCTACTGAGCGAGGGTGTGACCTTCTGTCCTCATTCAAGGGTTTCTCGGAGGCAGGGTGTGGTCCCATCCTGCTCTAGAAAGATCCACCCAGCCCTCGCCCGCTGCTCCCGCTGACTCACGTGCCAGAGGTATTCGCAAGCCTGGCTGGCCACCGCCTGGCGCATGCGGCCGGCATGCCGCCTCCCGAGGCACCCCCAGACTTTGCCCAGGGCATGCAGGCTCTCCCGGGCCACCTCCGGGCTGGCTGGGTCTCCCAGGCCTTGGAGGAGGGCTGCCAGCAGGTCCTCCTGGTGCTTCTTGGCCTGCCAAGGAAGGAACCCACATGCCCATCAGGGCTGGGCTGCCCTGGCACTTCCTTCATGCCCCAAAGGCCTTTCTCTTGGCAGGAGGGGCTGAGCTCCCAGCTCCCTGGAAGGAAGACCTGCAGGGCTCCGCCAGACCCACGGGTCGCCCCTCTCCTCTGGGCCCCTCCTGCTTCGGCTCCTTTTCCTTTCCCCGCAGATGGCCCAAGGCGCCTCTCCCGTCTGCAATAAGCTTTGTTAGACCTGAGCGGCCACATCACCCTCCCCCATACCTTGTGCTTCCTCCCCCCTGCCACGGCCTCCTTTTGCCTCCCCCCGGTCCCACCTACCTCTTGGGGTGCTCCTTCGGCCACGTTCCCCAGCCCTCGCACGGACAGGGACCGCACGGTGGCCTCCCCCTCTCGGGAGGCGGCCAGCCACAACTGCAGGAGGCGGCGGAGGATCTCCGGCCGGCGCAGCACATAGGGGTGCCCTGGGAGCTGGGAACCGAGGGGAGAGCTAAAACATCTCCCAACCTGGCTATTGCAAGGGCAAGTAGGAGGGGGAAGGATAGCCACAACTCCCTAAGACTTTTCCTGCAGCCCCCGAGGAGGCCAGCCCTGAGCAGCCCCCAAACGGAGGCTCCCCCAGCTTCCCAACCCCCCTTTTCTCTCCTCCCCAGATCTTCCCTTTGTACAGCCCCTGACACGGGATCTTACCTCCACGCAGAAGGCCAGAACCAGCTCTCGGGAAGCCCCCTGCGAGGAGCGCAGGAGGGGGAGGAGGTGACGCAGGATCTTGTCCAGGAGGGGGTTCTTGGTGTCCGCCAAAGCCCTGGGGTGGGAAGCCACCACGGATCAGCTAGTGCGGGCAGTGAAACGACAGACCCCCTTCCTCGCCCGGTTCTGCATCTAGAGCCCCAAGTCCACCCAGGAAGAAAGCCAAACCCTCAGCGTTCCCTCCTGGCTGTTTGTGCAGAACACCAACCTTCCGGCGTCAAAGGTTTCACCTGCACTTCGATGCCTGGAGGCAACCATCCCGAAAGCACAAGACCTGAACTCGCTCCATCCCGGGCCAAGCAGAACCTGCCCCCCCCCGGGCTTCAGATAGACCCTGCTGCACCCAGAGGCTTGTCAGCTCCGACCCAGAGCCTCGGTTAGCGCCGATTCCTTAGAAACCCTTAGGGCTGAAAGCAACATTATAGGCGGCCAAGAGGAACCTCCTCAAGGGCTGAGTGTGAGTTGGTGTCACGGCAGGAGCTTCTCTTGTGTTAGCAGGTGAGCCTTTTAGCTTTTGTCCCAGCTCCATCGCTTCGGTCTCTCCCACCCTAGAGGGCGAGCCACCGAGAACATCTGCTCCGGTCCTCCAGAGTGAGATGGCGAGGCCGGAAGTGAAAGCAACACAATCGATGCCCCAGCTGGGTTTCCTTGGCTTGACATGGAGAGATCTCAATGGGGAAAACTCCTGGGCTGTACCAATGATGCCTGAGCCTTCTCCCTCGAGCCCCAAGTCCACCCAGGAAGAAAGCCGAACCCTCAACGTTCCCTCCCGGCTGCTTGTGAAGAAAACCAACCTTCCGGCGTCAAAGGTTTCACCTGCACTTCGATGCCTGGAGGCAACCATCCCGAAAGCACAAGACCTGAACTCGCTCCATCCCGGGCCAAGCAGAACCTGCCCCCCCCCGGGCTTCAGATAGACCCTGCTGCACCCAGAGGCTTGTCAGCTCCGACCCAGAGCCTCGGTTAGCGCCGATTCCTTAGAAACCCTTAGGGCTGAAAGCAACATTATAGGCGGCCAAGAGGAACCTCCTCAAGGGCTGAGTGTGAGTTGGTGTCACGGCAGGAGCTTCTCTTGTGTTAGCAGGTGAGCCTTTTAGCTTTTGTCCCAGCTCCATCGCTTCGGTCTCTCCCACCCTAGAGAACGTCTGCTCCGGTCCTCCAGAGTGAGATGGCGAGGCCGGAAGTGAAAGCAACACAATCGATGCCCCAGCCGGGTTTCCTTGGCTTGACATGGAGAGATCTCAATGGGGAAAACTCCTGGGCTGTACGGATGATGCCTGAGCCTCCCCCCCCCGCTGTTCCCCACTGTGACCCAGAAGGGTCTCCTTACTTGGCCAAGGAGGCGATCCCCTTAAGACGGCTCTCTGGCTCTCTCAGGAGGGCCCAGGCATTTTCTGCCTCCATCGCCCTCGTGGCCTCTGGAATCACTTGGCTGAGCGTGGTCTGCAGCACCTCCACCGCCAGTCTGGAAGACAGACCCAGTCACGGGTTGGGGGCGAGAAAGGCCAACCCCACTCACGGCTCCTGCCACGTCTACCCGAGGGCAGAATCCTTCAGCCGAAGAGGAAGGAAGCCCGTGGTCCTCCTCTTCACAGGCCCAGGGAGGAAGGGGCTACTGAGAGGACCAGCCCAGTAGCCAGAGGAGGGCGGCTTGGCACAGCTTCTGATCCCTGGCAGGTGGGCTTCCCCCCCCCCTTGGCACAGCGGAAAGAGCCGAGCCCCTTCCTGGCGAGCCGAGAAAAGAGCACGTGGAGGAACTGAAGCCTCCAAGGAACGTCACGGCGTGGCTGGGCAAGAAAGGGGCCGGCTAGGGAAGGCGTGGGGGCGACTTACCCCCGGGCCCCTGCCCATCCCGTTTCCAGCTCCCCGTTGCCTTCCAGAAGGGAACAGGCTGCCTGTGGCATCTCTCCGGACCAGTCCTGGCTGAGCCAGAAGAGGAGAACATGGCACAGATTGGAGAGTAGCGAGGAGAGCCCGGTCCAGCTGTCCAAGGCCACGACCACCTCTCGGAGGGCTAAGAGCACCTGGAGGAGACACAGCTGTGGGAGGGGCTGGGGGGGACGAGGGCCCCTCTTCTGGAGGTCGGGGGCTGGCACTGACGGCCCTTGAGTGGCACTGGCACTCAGGGAATTTGGGGAGTAAAGTCCTTCCCAGCTCCACAGAAATCCTTGGCTTGGAGATGTCCCTGGAATCGCTAGGCGCACAAACCCGGGGCAATACCACGGGGCAATCCCAAAACCTGCCAAGCTGGCTTCTTCATAGGGAGCTCCTGCCATGCCTTTGCCTCTTTTAGCCCAGGTTGGTTGGCACAGATGGGTGAGGTGCCAGGAAGAAGTCAGTCTTTCCCTCTTATTATCCCCCCCCCCAAATATCGAGTTGCGGCCAGGGACTGTGGACTCTCTCGGGGCTTCCTGACTGAGGTTCGGGGCTCCTTCCTTCTCAAAGCAAGCCCATCCAAGGCAAGTTCAACCTCTGGGCCCCTGGAAACAGGAGAGGGGGCTTTGCCAGCTGCAAAGGGAGCTGTGTGGCTTTTCCTCATTGCCGGATGGCTTTTTTCTGTGTCGTGTCCAGTGGCCCCAGAGAGGATCAGGGAGAGGTCAAAAACCAGAAAGGATGACCGAAGGCAGCTCCTTCACCCTGATTTTTTAAAAAATATATACCACAAGACACTGTATTAAGTGCCCAGCACTTCCTTGATGTTTTGTTTTCTCTTTCAGAAAAAAAAAAAGAATGAGACAGACCTGTCTCTTGTCTGTCTGCTGCCATGAAGCCCAGATCTGTGAAACTCAGCACCCATCCTTGGGGTTATTTCTTTTAAAATGCCCGTTTGTGTTCCATAGGCCGGTAGCTTGCACGGCCAAAATTCAGTCACTCTATCATGGCTTCGGAGCGCCAAACTGAAGACTCCTTCAACCCGGGGGCAAAGCTGAGTGTTCTTGTTAGTAAATAATAAATTATGAAATGACAACTTTTAAAAAAATTGGGGAGGGGAGGGAAAAAAATTCAGCTGGGATGAAAGAATAACGGCACCCATCGTCCCCACCTCTGACCTTGCCAAGGGCTGAGAAATCCACTAAGGAAGGAGTGAGGGAGCCACTGGCCCTCCTTGGCGCCCCCCCCCAAGACTCATGAGCCTCCCGTGGGCAGAAGCCTCACCAGAACACAATTTGGGGCGCTGCTCCCGTCCGACATCACCCAGCGGAGCAAATGCTTCAGGGCTGAGGCTCGGCAGCTCGGGTGAGTCACGATGGCGGCCCAGAGCTCCCTTCTTGCCCTGCAAAAGCCACAGGGCAGAGAGATGAGCTTGCAGGCAGGGGACATCCTTCTAAAAATGCACAGGGTCATCTGAGGGGGACTCTGGGAAGCGGTACTCAGAATAACGGGAGGTCACGGAAGTGAGGAAGGGGTCAAAAGATAGCTTCGGTTCTCCCCTGCTTGTTGGGGAAGAAGGGATTTGGGGGCAAAGCCTTGTCAGAGGGGCAAAGTTTTCTCCTCCAGGGGTCAAAGCCCTCTTGATTCCCAGGTGGTCCAGCCTGGGAATGCCCAAGACTTTTTGCTGCCTGAGGCACAGGAGGAAACGCCTTCTCTCCCTCCAGCCCCAAAGATCCAAGCCCAGTCTTGGCATCTGAGAGAGAGAGAGAGAACCCCCACCGGCTCCTCTCTCTGCATCCAGCAATAAAATTTTTAAATTGAGAGAGAGAGGGAGAGAGAGAGAGAGAACCCCCACTGGCTCCTCTCTCTGCATCCAGCAATAAAAATTTTAAATGGATTTAGAACAAGCAAACAACCACCCACAACCATCCTGGATGAGCCGATGAGCCGTGGGCTACCCCTTTCTGGCTGCCCCGGGGGGGGGGAGCTGCCTGAAGCCTCCGCCTCCCTCTGCCCCCTGGCAGGGCCGGGCCCTTGGGGTCACCTGCACCCACCTGGGCTGGAGAAGGGGCTGCTCCACCAGGGAGGCACAGACCCCTCGAGAGTGGTGCTCCGCCAACACGCAGAGGGCCTGGGCCAAGGAGCGCCACAGGGAGGGGTCCTCGGCCCACTGCAGGGAGGAGCAAAGGACCGCCACCAAACCCCGGACCTGGGAGGGAGAAGAGAGGAAAGCTCAGCCTTTCTGTTCCTGTTTGCTCCTGTCGACAAAATCCCGAGACCAACGAAGCGGCTGATGCTTCCTTCAGCCCCACCTGAGGATCAAACCCATGGAAACATTAACAGGTTTCCTCCTCCCCTCTCCGCTCTTGGTGGCCTTTGCCTAAGCTGGGGGTCGTCACCTTCAGATCCCTGGCCGGTGGTCTTTCCTTACCTGGCCTGCAGAGGGGCCTTCATACACCTGGCCTTACCTTGTCCTTCAGATCAGTCCCTCGCTCCCTGGCGGCCACCTCGAACCACCAAAGGACGGCCTGGTCGCAGGCGGCGTTCACGGTCCTCAGTTGCTCCAGCAAGGAGCGCAGGAAGGGCACCATTTCCTTGGAGCGCAATGCGCGGCTGACCACCTAGGGGAGGGACAGGAAGCGAGGGGGTGGCAGGGTTGGGGGGAGACGCGCAGAACAGGTCCCTCTGCCTGGGACGAGGGGGGGGTCCCTCCCGTCTCAGCCGTTCCAGATCCCCTGGAATCCTCGGTTCAGAGAAAGCCTGTTCGGAACTCAGATCCCCCCTCCAAAGAAACAAAACCCTTCACGATTCCTGGAATCTGTCTTCCTACAGAGGGGTTCTACCCTAGCCAGGTGCCCGAGAGGGAGAAAGGAAACCCCGAGGGATGTGCAGGGAAGCCACAGGGACCTCCACGCATCCCAGACCCTCCGTGATTCCTCGGCCACCCCACCCCACCCTTGCTCCTGTTCCCCGAGGCTCTCGGACCTGCCGTACCTTGGCCAGTTGGAGGGAGGCGGCGCGCACTTCCTTGGTGCTCTTGCTCTGCAGGTCCCGCTGAATGCAATGCAGCCACGAGGCCCAGGTGCGGCCCTTGGGCTCTGGGGATCTCATGGCTCCTGGAAGAAACGGCCAGAGGGAAGGAAGCCGGGATGGCGCACAGGTTCTGCCGCAGAAGTCACTGCCGGGGAGGAAGAGGCGGCCCTGGACGCTTTCCTCTGCAGGAGGGTCTCCGGCAGTGGGCGCTGATTTTTCAGAAAGAGTTGCTTCTCTGGTGGTGGGTCCTCTTTCCAGACATGATCGCCTAAAGCCAGGGCAGAAGGAGCCACAAGACCGTCTCCCCCCCCCAACAGCATCTCACTTAAGATACCTGCATCACTACCCTTGCAGGCTCCTCCCAGAAGAGAAAAAGATCTATTCGTTCATTCGTTCATTCGTTCGTTCAGTCCATCCATCCATCCATCCATCCATCCATCCATCCATCCATCCATCCATCCATCCATCCGGCTCCCAAGGCCCTGCCAGGCGGTTCGCAACAGGGAATAAAACAATCACCAACGACAATAAACTAAAATTAAGTACTGTAACACCAAAGTGATATAAAAGAATAAACATACATGAAACATGATGAATTATTAGAAACATTGTAAACTTAAAAATACAGCACACACAAAAATTAACATATAATAGTGTTATTAAAGCACAGGGGGGTGCTAGCCTTCCTGGAAACAGGATCCAAAGCATTTGCTCTCAGAGTAACAGAACTAACCAGGAGGTCTTAGATGCAATTTCTCTACATTAAGAGGCAAAGCATCCAGCCTTGGAACGCACAGAGAGGGAAGTTCCAGGCTAAGATGCAAATGTTAGTGGCAATGATGATCCCCCTTCCCCTTTGGTTTGGCTCAGTGGCTCCCAAGCTTGGGTTTCCAGAGGTCCTTGGACTGCAGTTCCCAGAATTCCTGGCCAGCACAGCTGGTGGTGAAGGCTTCTGGGAATTGCAGTCCAAGAACACCTGGTTTCCCAAGGTTGGGAACCGCTGATGTAGGTAAACATTTAAATGAAGGGCTTTATGAAGGTAAGAAGAAGCCCTTTGGGGAGGCAGCTCACCTGGGAGGCTCAGCAGCACCTCGATGCACTCCACAGCGCCCTGCCGGATGGCAGCCAGGGGGTCGCAGGTGGAAGGCCCCAGGGCTCCAAGCAGGCGTCCGACCTGGCCCACAGGGAGCGCTGGCTGTGGGGCAGACAAGTGGAGGCTGGGGCATGAGTTGGAGAGGGCGCCTCTGGCAGCCCCACCTCCCGGCAAGGGGGCCCAGGGCAGGGCCGGAGTCAGCCTGATGGATGGCTTAGCCCCGGGGGGGGAGGATTCCTCCTCCCACCGTCAGGGAGCCGGAAGAAAGGGACTCGCCCCAAAACGGCCAGGACTCACAGAGGTGCCACCCTGGTGACGGGCTTTCAACAGGCGGGCAGCGACCTGCATGGCCCGGGCACGCTCCCATTCACGCTCCGACACCAGCCAGTAGCCCAAGAGCTGCGGGGAAAGTGGGGGGGGGGTCGAAGGGAGAGAGGAATTACTGCCAGTGCAAGAATCGGACCGCCGTGCCGACAACGGCGAGAGTCAGGGTCTGCATGGTGGGAGGACCAGGGGCTTCCGCCGTGAAGCCTGGTGGGGATCTGGTGGTGGTGGGCTCCCCCTCACCTGGAAGACCTGCTGGAACCACCCCGATCCGGCGCTCCCTGCCTCTCGCTCCGCCAGGAGGGTCTCCACCAGACCAGATAAGGCAGCCAGGGTCTCCGTGTAAAGAGCCTGCGGAGGAGGGAAGGGGGTTGGGAGGAACAGTGGCCCCTCCGAAGCATCCCTCTCCCCAGTGGGAGGGCACCCCCCTCTTGCCAGCCCCATCGCTCACCTGTGTGGTGTCTCCCAAGAGCCCCGAAGGCGGAAGGGCCACGACGTGGCTGATACAGCGCTCGGCCAGCTCCACGCTCTCCTCGTGGCAGAGCCGCTCCGGCACCTGACTGTAGTGAGGGAATAAATCCCTGCTTGGCAACTGACCAGAGCCCCATTAGGGTCTTGGCGGGTCTTCCGGCCACAAGCCCCACGTGGTGGCCACTGCCCTTGCATCCAGCTTCCCAGCAAGTGTGGCACCCGAAGCGGGGGGAGAGGGGGGAGACCCAAGGGAGAAGCCCCTTCCCCAAATATTCCTTTCTTAACAGGGAGAGGCTGGCTCACATTCCCGTCCTGCGAGAGGGGGAAAGAGCTGCAGAGGAGAGGAGAGAAGCACTCTGCACATGCTCAAGGCCCTGCTGTCCCCCAGGGCTTCGGAACCAGGCTCTGATAGAACGCATGCGGGTGTCAGGGGATCTGCCGCAGGACGGCATGGGTAGAGAGAGAGAGGGGTGCTCACCTCAGGTGCCGGAGGGCGACCAGCACTTCTTGGCAGGCGGGCGACCGCATGG